GTTTTGAGTTTGATTTTGATTTGTCGTGTTCAGAAATTTCACTTGTAAAATCTAGGAATGGATTGACTTCCCCACACTTTGCTTGAAATATGTCCCACTCATAAAGACAAGATAGAGATCAAGTGCATAGGCTCTGTTGGTGGAAAAACACCAAAGAACCAAAACTTACTTATTCTTCTTTAACCTTAGGCACATGGAACAAGATGAAGTTGATGTTATGTGCTTTGTTCAACTATAACATGGGTGGTAAGATCAGAAGATTGAGCATGAATGTAACATTTAAGTACATTTGGCCAAAAAGGGTTCAATTGCTTAACCCATGGAAGGATTGTTCAAATTTTCATAATGTATCAAACTTTACATGATTAAGCTATCATCTTAGGAGATAGGATGTGCACTTTCAACTTATTTGGTTAAGACTATGGGCTCAAAAAAAAAATGGTGCTAGGAACAAGCTTAAAGAACTAAACATGTTGAGTTAATCGAAATTTGGATCAAGCAAGTTGTGACTCAAACATGTTTGTTTTCTTACTATATGCATACCCAAATCAAGGAAAACTTTTAAATAATGACCATTTACCTTCGGATGTTACCTTTGTCATTGGAGAGCGATGACACCATGTGATAAGGGGTAGATGACTTGTGATGGTCCTTCCCTTTTGCTTGAAGTTTTCCTTGTTCGGCTAGCCTCGCATCTTGAGCTATTCATGAGCTTCTTGTCTTCTAGATTGTATCCTTTCTTTCTCATCTTTTGTCATGCCACCTTTCGGGTCTTTGATCTTGCCATTTTGTTGGACCTGTTGATTTGTTCATCCACTTCCTATGAGTGAGTGCTTTTATTGTAGATCTTGTTTTATGGCATTTGTCTTCTTCCTCTTTGTTCCGTGGAGTTCTTCCATCCATGCTGAATGAACTATGCCTTCTTTGCGCAAAGTTATTGGAGTTCATCATGTGCCTTGCTTCATCTCTGATTTGAATTTATCTCATGACTTACCCAAATTGAATTGAGAGTTTCCTGCAGGGGTTAGTCCAACAAAATATACAGTATCTACTAAAGCACACTCTTGGTCCAAAAAATTAAACTAGACACTATGTCAATTTAATCTAGAAAAGCATTTTAACCTAAGTGCCACGCTTAATTTAAAAAGCCTTTGAAAGTAAGATCAGCACTCCTAAACTAAGCACCATGCTTAATTTAAAAGATGTATGAACATACTCCAAACCTTAAGCGTACTGTCGGTGCAGAAAGTGACCAACACGTAAATATTTGTAGTTTTGCCGTACGTTGTGATCGGATGTGGCCTAGCACTCAATGACATATGGTTTATACTGGTTCAGGCAACGTGCCCTACGTCTAGTTTGAGTCGGTCGGTGACTTTATTCCTGAGCCCAGGTGCTCGAAGTTTACTATGGGGTTACAAATGGAAGGGAGAAAGATGCGGGGGTGCAAGAGGTCCGGTCGGACTCTGGTCTAAATGGCCAAGAGTGACAGAAGCTCTGCTATGTGCTAGGTGTTCGGAAGCGTGAGCTCTCACAATAGTGGGGTGAGTCGATGTAAGTGAACTAATGGATGTTGTGGACTGATCCTTTTGTTGGGAGAGAGCACATCCCCTTTTATAGATGAAGGGGACGGCCTTACAAGAGAGAGAGAGAGTACACATGCTATAAGTCTTGTTGTCCATGCCATCGGGTACATGATGATGGTAGGTGCCTATAACACTGTTTCTTGTCAGATGCATGTGGGAGCGTATTCACCATGTATGGTAGATGATGGCACCCACAACACTGTTGATGTCCAGAGGCATGTGGGGGAGCCTTACCGTGTTCGTCTGGTATGGGTGTTGATGGCGCCCACAACACTATAGGGCAAATGTCGGCGCCCACAACACTGCTTGGGTTCTGACATGCCAGGAAGGTTGCAGGGTACCCTTCTGACATGCCCTGTTGGTACTATCCTGCAGGTGTACAGGGTACAGTCCTCGGTATTGTGGTTGACTTGAGTGCCCTGCCTTACTTTCTCCGTCCATTTCCTGGTCCTCACCGAGTGGGCGTCCTCGGTCGGTTGGTCCTAGTCGGCTCTGATTGCGCCAGTCAAAGAAGAGCTATAGCGAGGTCATGAAGTGGTGATAGCAGGCCTTCTGGGTCGGAGAGAGGCCGTCCAGAGGCGGGCCAGAGTTGAAGCGAGCGTTGTTCCTCCTTAGTGAGGCCTTTCGATCGGAGAGGCGGGCCAGAGTCGGAAGTGGGCACCGTTCCTCGACTAGGCCTTTCGGTCAGAGATTGGATCACACTTTCTGGCCTGTCATTTAGGTATTAGGGCTAGCCTAGGAGTTGCACATCGTTCGCAATGTCGTCTGCTGGGCCGAGCCTTTGTTGGGAAGCCAGTCCATGAGGGACCCCAGGTTTATGAACCCAACAGGAGCCCCCGAGTCCTCGGGCGATTTGGGTAGAATCGTCTGGGAATTTTTGTCTTGACAACCGGTAAGTGCGCGTGGCGCACCATGGAGTGTAACCCACTGAGGCCTGGGCGATTCGGGAGAATCGCCTAGGGGGTTTTGCGTTGCTAGCGAGGAAGTTTTGTTTTTCGTCGGTGGAGTGCGGCGGCTCAGCAAAGAGTGTAGCCCCAGCCCCGGGTGATTGAGCGAGAATCGTCAGGGGGTTACGATGTGAGCTTGTGTGCGTGCACCTTGGTTGAGACAGAGTCATCAACCAAGGCATCGATGATGCGAGGCGATTTTTAGGATTGGGCGAGGCGGACTCACGGACCCATCGCGTGCGGTAGAGGTAGTTTTAGGGATCGGGTGGCGGAGCTTGCAGATCCTAGTGTTTCAAGCGAACCAAGGATCGGGCGAGGTAGAACTGTGGACCCGTCGTGCGTAGCCGAGGCAGTTTTTAGGGATCGGGTGAGCTAGAGCTTGTGGATCATGGCGTCAGGCGCAGCCGAGGGATCGAGCGAGGCAGACCTTTGGACCCGTCGTGCGGCGGTAAAAGAGGATTTTTAGGATCGGACGAGATGGAGCTCGCGGATCTCGGCATTAAGCGCGGCCGAGGATCGAGTGAGGCGGACTCACGGAGACCCGTCTGCTTGGCCCGAGGTAGTTTTTAGGGATCGGCGAGGTAGCGAGTCATGGATCTCAGCAGGCGGCGTGACATGACGGATCAGCGGCGAGGCTCCACGGACCCGTCGTGTGCGCCCGAGGCAATTTAGGGATCGGGCGAGGCCGGGCTCGTGGATCCTAGCGTCGAAGCGTGACCGAGGCGATTTGGGGATCAGGCGAGCGAGCTTGCGAATCCTAGCATCGGGCGGCGAGGTAGTTTAAGGATCGAATGAGATGGAAATTGCAGATCCTAGCGTCGCGCAGCGAAGGGGATCGGCGAGGTAGACTCGCGGAGACCCATCGTCTTGCAAAACCGGCAGTTTTAGGGATCGGAGAGGCGAAGTCGTGGATCCGGCATCGAGGCGCAGCCGAGGATTAAGCGGACTCATGGACCCATCGTGCATAGCCAAGGGATCGGGAGGTGGACTCGCGGACCCATCGTGCGTGTAAAGACTGTTTAGGGATCCAGGCGAGGAAAGCTCGCGGATCCTAGCGTCGAAGCGTAGCCGAGGCGATTTTAGGGATCGGGTGAGGCGGTGTCATGGATCCTAGCGTTGGGTGCAGCGAGGATTTGGGCGAGGCGAACTTGCGGACCCGTCATGCACAGCCGAGGTAGTTTAGGGATCGGGTGAGACAGAGCTCGTGGATCCTAGCGTCAGGCGTGGTCGAGGCGATTTAGGGATCGAGGCGAGGCAGAGCTCATGGATCTTGGCATCGAGCGCAGCCCGGGGATCGGGAGGTGGACTCACGGACCCGTTGTGTGCTCTAGAGGCGGTTTAGGGATTGGCGAGATGGAGGTCGTGGATCCACGGCATCGGTCGCATGGAAGCGATTTAGGGATCGGGCGAGATGGAGCTCGCGGATCCTGGCATTGGGCGCAGCCAAGGCATTTTTAGGGATGGGGCGAGATGGAGCTCGCGGATCCTAGCGTTGGGCACAACCGAGGTAGCTTAGGTGTCTTGAGCCCCTGAGCCCTGTTGGGCTTTGGTAGGGGTCGGTTGAGTTTTGTGCGTTACCCCGTCCGTGGTTTCTCGCAACCGGAGGGGCTGAGCTAACGTCACTTGCCTCGATGGCTCAAGTGACGTGCTCGGTGAGCTCGCTAACGGGCACGTTCGAGTGAAATCCAGGTCCGTCGTTCGTGATGGGTTCGACATATCCCTCATGTGACATTCCACTGCTCCTTAACCTACAACCCGACAGATGCCTAGGTCATTCTGGAGACCGACCCGGGTGGCCCACTGGCCTCCCCTCGATGGAGATTCTGTGGGTTTGGCTTGAGGTTTTGATCGAATGAGAAGGTTGAGATGACCACATGCCTTCAAGGCTAAGCGGGCGAGGGCAGCAGGGCTCATCTGCATTTTCTCCCCAGCTCTGTTGG